TTTTCTTTTCTTTTTTCAATTTTTCCGATTTTTCGGAAAAAAACAAAAAAGGCTTCAGGAAAAAAACGGGGGGGAAACAGGTTTTTTCCAAATTGTTCTAGTTTTTTTTCCGGGCCTTCACATCTCTATGCTGAACTAAACAAAAAAAGTCTTCACCAGCTGGCGGAAGGCGGCAACAGAAGAGGACAGGCGGGTCTCCCTGGGGAGAGAGTTCCAGAGTTCTGGTGCCACGACTGCGAAGGCCCTCTCCCAGGTTCCTACTCCCCTATGAAGCAAGTGGGAGGCAGAACCCAAGCCAGAATACCCTGCTCACCTTTAGGAGACTACCCTGCTCCCAGCTCCCACCAAGCACAGGAGATCCAACCTCCAAGACTACCGGAGCCCGAATCAAGGCAAGATCTCCCTGAATTAGGGTGCGGAGTCTTCCTCCTCTACCACACAACAGCTTTGAGACTCTCTTCTTGTAAGGGAGGAGCTAAGTTTGATACGGCGGACTGCTGGGGAGGGGAACCTATACAAACGTGTCAACCTGGCACAACGCCCACAACACAAAAAGTCAAGTAATTATTATTATGAGGATCCTCTCTCCACGGATAATTTTGAGAGCTTGACAGATCAATGCCACGGAACTATTCTAGACAGTTCAGGCCTTGGAAGCCTTACCTTTCAAGAGGTGGTCAGCTCGAAAACATTCCCCATTGACAACATCCTTCACCATGAAGTCTGCAAATTTGTCTACATGGCCGGAAGTCCTAGAAAAGAAGCCACAACACGATCAGCTCAAAACAGTGTCAGGAGAATACATTCTCCCGTGAATCTGCAGTAAGGAAAAGAAGTAGTTATTCTCAAAAACAAGTTAACTCCCTCCAGGGGAGAACTAAGCCTCTGTAGGAAAGCCCTGAGACTGACGGGCAGAGGTGCAAGATCTTCTGTACACCCACAGTGGGGGGTGTGGCTGGGAATACGACGAGGGCAGGATCAACACCAGCACATCGCTGAGAAGCTTAAGATGCGCTCACAGATATTTGGGACCTTTCAGAAGCTCTGAGGTTGGGACTCAAATCACTCTTGCTCGGTTTGGACAGGGCCCATGGCTCAGTGGTAGAGCATCAGCTTGGTATGCAGAAGGTCCCTAGTTCAGTCCCTGGCATCTCCAGTGGAAAGGCTCAGATAAAAGACCTTTCTCCACCTGAGACCCTGGAGAGCCACTGCCGGTCACAGTAGACAAGACTGACCTTGATGGAACAATAATAATACTTATGGCATTGTGTGCAGAATAGCCGGGAGAGCCAAAGATTGTCTCGCCGCTGAAGTTCTAGCTCTTTCGCGTTATGCACGGCTAGGTGGCAAGCGAGACCTGTTTTAAGGCAAGAGATGTTTCAGAGGTGGTTTTGCCACTGCCTGCCTCTGCGTCACGACCCTGGCATTCCTTGGAGGTTGCCCTTCCAAGTACTAGCCACAGCCGATCCTGCTTAGCTTCCGAGATCTGAGGGGATCAGGCCAGTCAAAAGTCTGATTCAACATAAGGCAGCTACATGTAAGAGTTCCGTTCAGGGGGAAGGGCCATGGCTCCGTGGCACAGCATCTGCTTCGCATGTAGAGGGTCCCAGGTTCGAACCCGGCCATCTCCACTTAAAAGGACCAGGTAGCAGGTGATGTGGAAGACCTCTACTGGAAATCCTGGAGAACCGCTCCCAGTCTTAGTAGACCACACTGACCTTGATGGACCAAGTGTCCGATTCAGTATAGGGCAGCTTCACATCTGTACCTTTCACTCAAACTCTGTTGCTGTGGAAACTTTCCACACTAAACTAAAATTAGGAAAGGACTACAATAAAAGTACCTTGAGCAACTAAGGAAAAAACATTTTCACATTATTATACTTTCGCACTCTCAGAACACTTCACGGGCACCCAGGATGCATTTGGGCACGACCACGAGCCACGACTCCAACTGGGCAAGCACACAGCGGGTTTCTCTGCTCATGCACACCTCTCCTGCCTAAGTAAGTGGAGCTTGTCTGCACCCTACACCCCTTCCTCTCTTTAATTCACCATGATGTAGGCATCTCCGTCAATTGTTAGTTTACCCCAGTCAAGCCAACAAGGACTAAATGGAGAGGAGAGGAGAGGAGGGGAGGGGAGGAGGAGAGGAGGGGGAGGGGAGAGGAGAGGGGAGAGGAGGAGGAGAGGGGAGAAGAGGAGGAGGGAGAGGAGGAGGAGGGGAGGAGGGAGAAGAGGAGGAGGAGAGGAGAGGAGGAGGAGGAGAGGAGAGGAGGAGGAGGAGAAGATTTTTGTACCCTGTTTTTCTCTACCCTAAGGAGGCACAGAGT